TCGATTCACTGTTCGGACTCGCCGATTCCGTACAGTGAATCGGTGAGTCACTGTGCGAAATCGTCCGGTTCTCTCTAGAACCGGACGATTTCCGATTTTTCAACCGATCCGGTCCCTTTTCGCAAATTCCGAGTCGAACCGGGCGAGTCCGGTTCGACTCGGCGTTTTTTAAAACGCTGATATGAATGATAAAGATATGTAGTTCCATGATGAATATCTTGGATTGGACCTATAGTTCATCTTAACGTCCTATCTTGCGAACAAGTGGAAGATGTCAATATTATACGTGGAAGCTCTAAAACCCAATAGGTTGATTTTTGATAATTAAAGAGCGAGAAAAAAACACGAATAACAACAAGAAAGAAAAAAATAACACAAAAAAGAACACCAAGATTTCACATAGTTTATTATAGATGTGATTACCTCTATAAGCCAAGACGATCAATAGTTTTTTACTGGGAAAAAAAATTACAATATGACTCTTACCCAAAAAAACATTACACAAACGCAATCTCTCACAAACCTCTCTCTACAATTTCTCTCTACAGCCAAAGTTTCTCTACACACCCCTCGACCTATTTCCTCTTTCTACATGTCTGTAATAGAGAAAAGAGTAAAACCCAAAAGCGTCATAATATGGGACACCTAACTTATCTTCTACTTTAAAGTGATAAAGTTAAACCCATAAACTCCTATTTTTTTAATGAGTTTCTCGTAAATACAGTAACTCTTGAAAGCTACGGATTTTTCCCATAAAATTTAAAAACAAAAAATAATATCCCTTTAAACTAGGAAACCTAGTACCAATACCAAAAAACATAATGCCATATTGCTTTGGATTCAAGACTATATCCCAACAAATCTCTACCTTGGTTTAAAATTCAAATGAAATTCCCATTGACCATCTTCTCTTTATGCATCTCCACTAGCGCTCACCTTAATAACACATTAATCAAGCCTAAATACAACTTGAACTTTTGCAATGAGATCAACTTTGCTATCATGTCCACAACCTTTTCTTGATACCAATATTCACAAGACCTCCAGTACAATTTTTCTGAAGAGACTATTTTTTCATTCATGGTATCACTTCACTTACTATTATCAATATCATGTGTAGCTTCATTAAAAATAGATGGCTATTGGCTTATGGTAACAAATGCATAACCTACCATGTTCTCAAAATCATAACGCACCGTTGGCTTTTTGATCTTTTTCCCCTTCCAAATTGAGACTCTTTCTTATGTGTAGTAGGTTTACCCCTAATGGTCCACATTCTCCTCTACTCTTTCACAATATTTCTAGCTTATGTTTTGGAGTATTTTCTAGAGTTCTCAACTCCACCTCAACTGTATCACCACTACTACTATTTTCCTTTTCTGTACCCTCATGAATGTACTTTAATATGAAAGACTCATCAAACATAACAACCCAGCTGAAAATAAACTTAGGCAATTTAGGATATGGGCACAATAAGCCATAGCCATTAACTCTTTCACATAATCGAGAAAAATACACTTCTTTATTCTT